CAAGCTACAATTAGAAATGCTGTATCCAGTTTTAGTAAGTTACGTGACTTAGAAAACGAAACATAAAATCATATATTAATATTCAAAAAAAGATGTGAGCTCAAGCACCACGAATATAAATTATCCAGCTCGGATTGGAGTTTCAACATGTCAGCGGAGTGCATAACAACTGAGTAGATTTTTAGATTATCTGCATATAAAAGAAAATTAGCGAAGCAGAAACAAGAACCAATGTCGTTAATGAACAATACAAAAAGCAATGGACCTAGAAGGCTACCCTGTGGAACACCTGAAGTAGCAATAAAAGGTCCTGATTGAGCATCGTCCACAGTAACAAAACAGTGCCTCCGTTTAAGATAATACTTAAGCCATTGCAGAAAAGTAGAATTAAAACCTATGGAAACCAGTTTGTCAATCAAGATCGCATGTGAAGCCTTACCGAAGGCTTTAGAAAAATCGGTGTAAATACAATCAACTTGATATCCGGCAGAAAACGTACCGATACAGAACTCACTAAAAACTGCCAGATTTGTCACTGTAGAACGACCGGAGTCGAACCCATGCTTGTCTTTGATCACACATTCGAAAAGCTTAGACACATTGGAAAGTTTCGAGATCTGTCTATAATTAGTTGCATCATTTTTATTCCCGCTTTTGAAGATAGGAGTTATGGATGGCAGTTTCCAGGCATCAATAAATACCCCCAAGGACAGCGATTTATTAAAAATGATTTTCAACGGAAGTACCATTGCAGCACAGTTTTTTAACACGAGAGCCGAGAGGCCATCCACAACCGTTTGGGAGGAGGATTTGAGCTTTAAGACTCCAGTTGAAATATCATCAGTTGGGAGAGTCAGTGATCCGAAACCATATGTGGACTTAAAACCAGATGAGAAAGCATCCCAGGAAAGGTCTTCTTCACAATCATAGTTTGATTTGAAGAAATCAGCAAAAAAAAATTATCACCTTCTTGAAGACTGCGTGCAAATTTTCCTTTCAAGAATACTGTGGATGGTATTGTGGAGCAACCTTTTTTTTGATTTTATGAATTTCCAGAAGGCCTTAGGGTTTGAATGAATATTATTTTCGAAATTGAGAATATGGTTTCTATATAAAAATTTATCAAACAATTGAATTCTTTCAGATATTGGCGATACTTGTCATAAAACAACTGGTTATTGGTGGATTTAAACTTTTTAAAGGAATTATTCCTAAGATTCTTAAGCTTCTTCAGACGCATAGCGTACCATAGTAGCTTGTATGGTTTTCTTTTGAGAACAGGGATATTATTTATACACGTTTCGTGCACTACTGATCTGAAAGTATCAAAACATTCAGAGACATCAGTACTAGAGAGCAGTTCCTCCCAACTGACTTCGGCGAATAAACTGTTGAGACTCACAAAATCACATAAGTAGTAATTTTACGCAACTTTATAGCTGATTTTGTAGAGTACAGATACTCACATTTATACGTTGTACCAAAAATTTAAAATATATGACACACAGCTGTTTTAAACATCGGATATTTTAAATCTGGTACCTACTTGTTGTCGGAATTCAAGCAATGGCAAAGTTTTATGTTGCATCTCCAATGCCTTATCTTCTTTTAATTCCAAAAACTCCAGCTCTTCTTCGCTTTTCTTAAAAATTAGTATTTCGGATATTGTGAATTCATCCTCAATTAAGTTACATAAAAAAGGGTTTATAAAGTAAGCAAACGTATGTTGTATCATTACTATGTATGTATAAGAACACAATCATGTAAATATAGCAGGTAACATAAACGAAAGCACCTAATAAAACAGTTCGCAATTAGCAAGCAAAGTAACAGGTTGTAACGAACGTAAGGTTGTAAGGTGCGAACGGTCGAAAATTTCTTGCGCACAAAGAAAAATTGCACCTACACCGGAGGCTGTAACACCAGCGGCAGTTTTTCAATTTGATGCTTTCAACCCGAATACTGCAAAATGGTCACGTTGGGCGAAACGGTTTGAAACAGCTCTGGTGATCTTCAACAGCGACCAGGAAAAAAAGCGTCAATTCTTACTTCATTACATAGGGACGGCAACGAATGATGTCCTCTGCGATAAAATCCTACCACGTACACCAGAAGACATTACGTACACGGAAATCGTTAATACATTGGAGGAGCATTATAGCCCAAAACCCAACGAGATTTTGGAGAATTACAGATTCCGCTTACGGAAACAGGGAGCCGAGGAATCACGCACTGATTTTTTCATGGCGCTACAAAGGTTAGGGGTCGCATGTAAATTCGGAACGTGTTTTTGAATTAGCTCCAAGGTCCCAGGAAGGTTATTGGAAAAGAGAGAGCTCACACTGGATGAAGCCGTTAACATTGCAAAAGCATACGAAGCAGCAGAAAAACGCTTGATCGAAATTCGGAACTGCGCCAAGACGAATGAAACAAGCGTAGACCAAATACGAACACAAGGTAAGCAGTGCGGTCGGATCGTAAATCATTGTTAGGCAGAGAGTAGCTTAGAACTGTAAAGTTAAATTGGTAGAAAATTTTCCAGGACCAAATCGACGCAGATGTGGTAGTAAAGAATATTTCACAAGATGAACCGCAAGATCAGGTGAAAAGCATCATAAAGAAATTTCCAAACTTGTTTTCGGATACCATCGGCACTATTGCTGGGCAACAAGTAAGGTTACACTTAAAACGACAAACCATATTTCATTAAATCAAGGCGAGTACCATTCCCACTTTGGGAGGCGGTAGAAGCTGAACTTGACAAGCAGGTTAGTGAAGGATTGTTGGAAAAAGTGGATAAGAGCGAATGGTCCTCACCAATAGTCGTGGTACAAAAAGCGGAAGGCAAAGTGCGAATCTGTGGCGACTATAACCTTACGTTGAATCCTGCACTACGCATTGACGAACACCCACTACCAAAAATAGACGAACTTTTCAGGAATACGGCAGGAGTCACAAAGTTCAAAAAAATTGACCTGTCAAAGGCGTATTTACAATTGGAAATTCATGCGGACGATCGGCCCCTGCTAACATTGAGCACCCATCGGGGCATATACCAACCTACAAGGATGATGTTCGGCATTTTTTGCGCTCCAGCGGTTTGGCAAAGGTTTATGGAGAACTTGGTGGGATACATTCCTGGAGTTACATGACATCAAACTTGCTGCACCCGACGATGCAACACACCTTCAACGATTGGAAGAAATCTTAGGCCGTCTAGATTGTGATTATCTATATGAGAGTCAACCTTGGTAAGTCACAATTTTTAGCAGATCGTATTGAGTATTGCGGGTATCTCATAGATAAATATGGCAAAACCTGAAAACGTCAACCAACAAAGACGAAGTCCGCTCTTGCTTGGGGTTGTTTAACTACTACGGGAGATTCGTAAAAAACCTAAGTAGTATGCTATATCCGCTGAATAGACTGTTGCAAAATAAAGTTGAGTTCCAATGGGATGCCAAATGTGAAAATGCCTTACAGTCAATAAAAGACGTTATGCAATCGGACATTGTGTTGACCCACTATGATCCTAAATTACCAATTACACTAGCTGTGGACGCGAGCCCCACCGGGGTGGGTGCAGTGTTGAGCCATACCTTGGCGGATGGCACGGAAAGGCCAATACAGTTTGCCTCCCAAACGTTGAACAGAACGCAACAAGCTTATAGTCACGTTGATAAAGACGCTTATGCAATTGTTTTTGGGGTGAAAAATTTTACCAATACTTATTCGGAAGGAAATTCGCTTTAATTACAGATAACAAAGCAGTCGCACAGATATTTTCACCGCAGAAAGGGTTACCAACATGTTCCGCAACTAGGTTGCAACATTACGCTATATTCGTACAATCTTTCACCTACGTAATGAAACCAAAAAGGTGGTGGAGAACACCAACGCCGATGCAATGTCGAGGTTACCTTGCTCGGAAAAATACTATTGTATTGAAGAGGTGGATATTATTGAGTACGAAGCAATTCAAAACATGCCGGTGACCGTAGAGGAGCTAACTACAAAAACGAAAGCAGATCGGGAAGTACACAAGTTGGTCGAATGTTTTAAATATGGTCGCGAATGTGATGCAAAGGACCGATTTGGAGTAGTACAGACGGAATTTACGCTACAGAAGAGTTGTCTTTTGCATGGTATCATAGCCTACATAACGAAACCCTTACGCAAGCGAGTACTACAGGAACTACATACAGCTAATTTCGGAATGTCAAAAATGAAACGTATTGGTCGAGCATACTGTTGGTGGCCCAACATGGACAGAGATATCGAAAACTTTGTATCGAATTGCAACGCATGCCAGTTGGTAAGAGCAGAACCGAAAAAGAGTACACCAGGGCATTGTTGGGTAACACCTACAAAGGTGTTCGAAAGAGTCCATGCGGACTATGAAGGCCCAGTATTAGGAAAGTGCTTATTCGTACTTGTAGATGCGTTTAGCAAGTGGCCCGAAATACATATCGTCCCGAATATGAATACTGAAACGACAATACAACTGTGCAAAGATATTTTTGCTACTTTCGGGTTACCTAACGTTTTCGTGAGCGACCACGGAACACAGTTTAACTCAAAGGCATTCCAAAGTTTCTTGAAAAACAACGGCATCACACATAAACAAGGCGCACCATACCACCCCGTGACAAATGGCCAAGCGGAATGGTTTGTGCAAAGGGTAAAGATCAAACTACGATCAGCTAATTGCATTTCGAGTAGTATGACTCGCGAGTTGGCAAACATTATAATGGCTTACCGTCGATCAATTCACCCTGCAACAGAAAAATCACCCGCGATGAATATGTTTGATCGGCAGATCCAATCCAAGTTAGAACTATTGCTCCCAAGTAACAGAAGAAGCGACCAAGAACGCCCACCTAAGAAGCAATTCCTCGTAGGAGACAAAGTTGCAGTTCGCGATTATTTATCGAGCGCTAAGCGGCAATTCGGATTAGTCAAAGAGTTACTGGGTAGTTTACAATACTACATTCGTTTAGACGACGGTAGAACGTGGAAGAGGCATGCGGACCAAATGAGAAAAGTATGCGAAAGAGTGATCCATTCAAAGAAAATGCCAGAAGAGCCGGGAGAAGCAGATCAAAGGAAAGATGACCAGATAACGCTGTACGAGGCAACATCATTTAAGCCCTCAGCGAGCCTAGCAGATCAATCCATAGCCGACAAACCTACCATAGCCCGCGAGACGAATGATTTTCCACAGCGTCTGACGACAACGGAAAGTGAGACGAATAATACAGGCGACACCACTATTCGAAGATCCACACGTAACGGGAAGGTACCGGAACGATATAAAGACTTCTTGACATAGATGGATTCAGGAACTATTAACTGCTTAAAAATTTAAAATTTGTTAATTCAACGTAAAACGTACATTTAAATAATTTCAAATCGGCAATTTTTTTTTTAATCTGCCTTTAAATCATGTGCAAAACTTTTTTTCTAGCCTAGCAAAATGATGAAATATTCTTGTAGAGACGAATTCAAGTTTTGGCAAACGTTCCATCATATCGGTAAAGAACATTAAGTCAGAAAGCCAATTTTCAATCTACAATTGCGGGTAATGTTCCGATCTCAATTTGCGTATGTGTATTCAAAAAGAATAAAAAAAAACACTATAAAGGAAAAAAATGTCCAGCAAAGAAACATGTATTTTAAAAAGTAAAAAGAGCCAAAATGTTCTAAGCAAAGAGAAAGTAAAAAGAGCCGGACTTTGCTAAGCAAAGAGCCGCATTTGGTTCAAAGAGCCGCGTTTGCCCACCGTTGGTATATGTGTATCTCAAAAACTACTTGACCGATCTGAACACATTGCGCTTGGGCTTCTTAAGCGCTATATTGAAAATTTTTGAAATCGGACAAAAACAACGGGCTGACCAACATAGCGGTAATTTCAAAAAACTCAAGGCTAGCTATATTTTAGGAGGAGTAGGGTTTGTCCGATTTCAAAAATATTCAAGACAGTATATAGGAGGCTAAGCACAATGTGTATACCAAATTTGGTCGAGATCGGTCAAGTAGTTTTTGAGATACGCATATATCATAAAAGTGGGCGGTGCCTTTCCTTTCACTTTCCTAAAATTTCTTGAAAACCCACTTTTTTGCTAAAGAGCGATTGTATATATAAATTTTGAACAAATATTGATGAAGTTCTTAATCACACTGCTCAAAAAATCTGAAATTCCGGTGCATACACACATATAAATTCAAGGCCGTATTTAAGGAAAGTTGCCTAAATTCGACAAGTTTAGGCTTATAGGAGGCTAAGCACAATGTGTATACCAAATTTGGTCGAGATCGGTCAAGTAGTTTTTGAGATACGCATATATCATAAAAGTGGGCGGTGCCTTTCCTTTCACTTTCCTAAAATTTCTTGAAAACCCACTTTTTTGCTAAAGAGCGATTGTATATATAAATTTTGAACAAATATTGATGAAGTTCTTAATCACACTGCTCAAAAAATCTGAAATTCCGGTGCATACACACATATAAATTCAAGGCCGTATTTAAGGAAAGTTGCCTAAATTCGACAAGTTTAGGCTAATAGGAGGCTAAGCACAATGTGTATACCAAATTTGGTCGAGATCGGTCAAGTAGTTTTTGAGATACGCATATATCATAAAAGTGGGCGGTGCCTTTCCTTTCCCTTCCTAAAATTTCTTGAAAACCCACTTTTTTGCTAAAGAGCGATTGTATATATAAATTTTGAACAAATATTGATGAAGTTCTTAATCACACTGCTCAAAAAATCTGAAATTCCGGTGCATACACACATATAAATTCAAGGCCGTATTTAAGGAAAGTTGCCTAAATTCGACAAGTTTAGGCTAATAGGAGGCTAAGCACAATGTGTATACCAAATTTGGTCGAGATCGGTCAAGTAGTTTTTGAGATACGCATATATCATAAAAGTGGGCGGTGCCTTTCCTTTCACTTTCCTAAAATTTCTTGAAAACCCACTTTTTTGCTAAAGAGCGATTGTATATATAAATTTTGAACAAATATTGATGAAGTTCTTAATCACACTGCTCAAAAAATCTGAAATTCCGGTGCATACACACATATAAATTCAAGGCCGTATTTAAGGAAAGTTGCCTAAATTCGACAAGTTTAGGCTAATAGGAGGCTAAGCACAATGTGTATACCAAATTTGGTCGAGATCGGTCAAGTAGTTTTTGAGATACGCATATATCATAAAAGTGGGCGGTGCCTTTCCTTTCACTTTCCTAAAATTTCTTGAAAACCCACTTTTTTGCTAAAGAGCGATTGTATATATAAATTTTGAACAAATATTGATGAAGTTCTTAGTCACACTGCTCAAAAAATCTGAAATTCCGGTACATACACACATATAAATTCAAGGCCGTATTTAAGGAAAGTTGCCTAAATTCGACAATTTTTATGCGATTGCAATAAAAAAGGTATCAGTTTATTTGAAAATAGATTTAATTTTAGATAGTACTGCATATTTTTTAGAAATTGTAGATATTACCGATGGTAAAATTTATAGAAATTAAGAGAAATAAGGGCAGTTTTTCTAATTTACCCGATAAAAAATCCCAACAAGCCAAGTCCAAAAATAGATTATTATAAACAATTTTAAAGGCCTATATATTCTCTTCTTAGATCATATTCGATCTTTGAAATCGAATCAAAAATAGTCATCCAAAAACTCTCTGATCGTATTTCGCGATCTCTAAATGACCTTTAAAAAATCTATAAAAATAGGCAAAAACATCTCTTATAAAATCGAATAAAAATAGGGGGTAGGGTCTTGAAATTTCCAAAAAAAGCATTTTCGATGGGCACCCTAATGTAAAAGTAAATTTAAAACATTTAATTACACATGCAAATCTTTAGCAGCTGACCACGTATAACAATGGTGGGCAAACGCGGCTCTTTACTTAGCAAGGTGCGGCTCTTTTTACTTTCCCTTTGCTTAGAACATTTTGGCAAATATTTACTCTCTCTTTACTCTCTCTCTCTCTTTACTTTTTAAAATACAAATTTCTTTGCTGGGCCTTCTTTTCCATTGTGTTGTTTTTCTATTTTATTATTTTTATATATTTATGTACTACTGGAAATGCAACATAAAGCTTTGCTATTGCTTGAATTCCGGCAACAAATACCAGATTTAAAATAAAACAGCTGCGTGCCGTATATTTTCAATTCTTGGTACAACGTATAACTGTGGGTCTTTGTACTCTGCAATGAAATTCGTAAAGTCAAAATACTGTTCACAATTAGTTGCATTCGCGTACCGGATAATTATTGAAAGGTATAAAAACTATCAGCTTTTTGTGTTCGCGTACGCAAAAAACTTGCAAAGTAGGGGAAATTGAGAGAGCAAAACATTTTATTTTAAGGGAAAGCTGCTAGTTTCTGCTGGAAGATTTTTTGCCAATAGCAATTTGCCAACAAGAAAACAGCTGGATGGAATTTACGCAAATCCCTAAATTGAATTTGATGGTTTCGAATCAGCTATTTGAACACAGTAGTAGATCTCTAACCAAGTGTTGTAGAATATGTGTAAACTTTTTACAATAGAAGTGTTACATACACATAAATATTTTCCAAAAAGAAATTTTTCCGGCCATGAAATACATAGCATACGAATGTGGATAAACTGCAATCGCCTGTGTAAATAATGTTTCAAATTTCTAAGCAACAAAAAATAGCTTGGCCCAAGTAAGTAGTAGGTCAACTTTTGTCAGACGATTTTTTCTGGATGGAACTCTGATTATCTGCTAGTGTATTTGAGAATTCAGAACAAACATAAGTCACTAATAATAAGTGTGATGTAAACAAGTGCAATAAGTTTTTAAGGGCGTTTCAGTGCCAGTTTAAACTTAGATTAGGTAAACTGAGTTTAAATTGAACAGCTGGCTGACATAAAAAAAAGTATTACAGTGTTTTCATTTCTACCAAAAAATACCGCTTTTTCATGGTCCCTTTCTCTTTTCGCGTTTGATTCTAAATTAAAGGCAAATGGTGAGAAAATTTGTGATTCGTTTTTTTAAATTCACTCTTGTAAGGCAAAAAAGGCACATTTTCTGCCCTATCGCCAGTAAAATCGCCTCGTGTAAATGCAGCTTATCCTTCATATACGCAATAGAAAATTTTAAATGCTTGGCATCGCCTTAAGCCCTTCAACTAACCAAATATTCACAATAAATTTTCATGACTTTTAAATTCATATTGAGTAGAAAATTTGCTGTTTAACTTTTATGAAAGCAACATTTTGGCAAATTAGGCTAATAATTTTATTTCAGTAAAATTTTGGTAGATATTTTAAAATATGTGGTAGTTATGGTAGAAGTGAAAAATTATCCAAAATGTGGTAGATCTACCACAATTGTGGTAAAGTGGCAACCCTGTTTGGAATTTAAAATAGTAAAATACGACTATTTAAACTTGCAAACTTGTAGTCAGTGAACTGTGTTAGGATAAGACTTCGGGATTAGTTTTCTTACTTTTTCAATTTTATACAAACAAAATTTCTATCAGCTAACTTTAACTTTCGTCTAACTTGAAAGTTTCTGCAAATTTTCTGTTCGCGTACTATTTTGGATTTTGAAAATTTGGCCAAAGGGATCTTTTGAATTTTCTTGAATATCTATCTTACGTATATTAGAATAATAATAAAATTAATGTTTTTCATTTCTAATAATAATTTAATTTAAAAATAAAATTTTTGTTTTTGTTGTTTTTTTGTGGCTCTTTTCGGCCTCAGCCTTGCCCACCCCTGACATATAGTATGGGGCATTTTTGTTTACAAGTTCCTTGCATAACATTATGCTATTGATACTCTCAATCTTAAGTTTATTTCTCAGTTTAGATTCTATCAAAGAAATCTTTGAAAATTTGCGTTCTACAGCCGCAAAGCTATGTGGTAATGAAATTATATTAAAAACAAAATTGGCGCGATGCATGAAGCTATATTTTTAATAGAATAAACTTTTTCCCAAAACGTATCAACATCCAGATCGCCCGATATATCAAGCTCACTTAGCCTCAGTAAATTCCACTGCGTGGTTATTATACCAGGATCGCAATCTAAGAGCTGAGGAAACTTTAACAAAAGAGGTAAAATTGGTAAATCTTCTTTAGAAACTACCTTCGCTCGTGTCATCATTTGTAAAAGTTTTATATCTTCACACTTGAAATCAAATCTAAAATTTACAAATCTCTATGTAAAACTTTAATATATTTTTTTGTTTAACTTCAAGAATTCCAGAAAAATTTAAATAAATAAAATAAAGTTTCAAACTATCCCATTGCTCAACTTTTTTTAACACAACGCTTCCTAGAGAAAGCCATCGTGTTTTATCGAACAGTAGTCCTGAAATTCCTTCAGTTCATATATCCTCTTTGGACTGTGGGAAAAGAAACTATATATGTTGCGGCACAGTGTCTCAATGCTTTTCGGCAATTTTCACAAGCGTAGCTTGATCAAAGGTGAAGTGAGTGACATGTGCACTTTATATAAAATAAATCGGTTTCTGTACTCAATAATGTTTTCAGCCCGCCCAGGTCTACAGCCATAACATTGGCTCCATCATTGGCCAAACCCATTAAGTTTCTTATTTTTAAAGGCAGGATTGGCAAATATTTATCTGCAAAATGATGTTTGAAGATTAAGAATTTAAAAACTTAATTCAACTATACGACCAAAATCTTAATTCGCTGACCAACCTACCAAATGAAATAGAAGCGACCAAATTTGGTCGGAAAAGGCCAATAGTAACAACACTGATTCAATATGACCTTAAATACAAGTCAAATCAAAATATAAATTAATTATTGGATAATTTTAAAATAATAAATGTAATTTGTTAAAAAATTATGTTTGTTAATTGATCAGGATTTCAGCTTGAAACAAAAAGTTAAAATTCCCAAGAAAACATGATAGTACCGATACTATCGATATTTTATTGGCCAAAACATCGAAAAATCAATTGCTTCAAATAATGATCTTTTTGCAGCACTATCGCTTATATTCTATGTTCTTTGTGATATCGACAGCGCTGCCACGTTTGTACGAGAAATTATTTTTGGCCCAGAGTACAGGGAGACTCTTATTAAATTAATAAAGAAAACATTGAAAATCGGGACATAATCGGTACAAACTTTCAAAAAATATTCAGCGGGACAATTTTCTCAAAATCGGTACTGTCCCACCAAAATCGGGACGAATGATCCCGTATTCATACCAAAAAAATTCGACTTCAAGAGAATTTTTTAATATAAGCTCCCTGTATTTAATGATATCATTTACATACTTAGAGAGTGATATATGTATATTTGTATCCATTCAGGGTATCAACTACTGTTTTTGAAAATAGGACATATGCCACTAAAGTGGTGTATGCTTTCCGCTTCTCCTAGGTTACAAACTGGACAAGATATTGATAAAGTGTTTGTGAAGGCCATTACATTTAGATTGAGTAGACCCCCTCTTGTGCGGAAAATCATGTTTTTTGTTTAGGCAGAGTACTCGTCACAGAAATAAAGAGTTTTTAGTGGAACAAGCTGCGGATAAAGACCATGTGATGTAGATTTCAGAGCACTATCAAGATAAGTACTGAATTCTTTCTCTAGTACCTTATCGAGGAATTTAGGGATATAGTCATTAAAAGCTGTGGAGGGAAAATCAGTTAGTGGGGACGAGTTCACACTTTGCCACTTCTTAACCCAGTATGCCTCCGGGCGAACAGTTTCCACTGCAAGTATACGTGGGAGCCTACTAGCGTTCAGGCTAAAACATCGGGCTATGGAATACATGTGTGAGCACAAGGTTTAATTTGGGGTATTGGTTGGTAAAAAAATAACCTTCTTTATAAAGTACCTAGGCAGTTTTTCCACTTGCCCATACTTGTCTACTCCCCTCACCTGTGCACCATAAAACATAATTGACTTCGAGGCCGCATCGAAAATTTTTATTTTTTTCGACAGGTTGATACGTGGATTATTTATATACTTTAGTCAACTCGCGTTTATGGCATTCTGTACGTTAACCAATTTAGCCTCTAATAGCAAATGAAAGCTTATAATTCAGCAAAATTTCTGAGTATAGTAGGCTACAGTGCGGCCAGGTTAAATACAATCCAGCCGTGGAGAGACCTCAGATTCGGGCACGCAAAAGTACTTAGAACTCTACCGGATAATCTACGACAGATAGATTATACCACTCCTCTAGTCTGCTTAGACAACAAATTCTCCACAAGGATCCCAGAGAGGAACGAATGGGAAGGGGCCACAGACCTGAACCCAGGGTCTACGGCCATATATACAGATGGTCCCAACCTTAACAAAAGAGTGGGTAGCGGGATCTACTCTGACGAGCTCGCGCTAAACCTCAGTTTTCGCTTACCGGACCATTGTAGTGTTTTTCAAGCAGAATTAAACGCCATAATGGAGGCGGAACGGTGGGTTATAACCTCCGTCCCTCCAGGACGGCCTATTGCTATCTATTCTGACAGCCAGGCTGCTATCAAATCTCTGAATTCCAACGGAACAACGTCCAAGATAGCCATAGAATGCACGAAGATTCTCAACCTGCTGGCATCAAAATGCTCCTTGACTGTTGTATGGGTCCCTGGACATAGGGACATTTCTGGCAACTGCCTAGCCTACGAGCTGGTAAGGAGGGGAAATATATGAAAAACCTATCGACCAACCTAGGAGTAAAATTCTACGCGAGATATGTCGATGATGTAATATGTCTAATAGAGGGAAACAAAGAGAAACAGATACTAGACTATCTCAACAAACAACACCAGAATATAAAATTCACCATGGAAACGGAAGAGGAAAGAAAGATTAACTATCTGGATTTAACAATTAAAATAAACGATACCACGAACAAGATAGAGTTCGAAATATACAGAAAACCAACAGCCACAGACACAATTATACACAATAGCTCAAACCACCCACAGCAACACAAAAATGCAGCATTTAAACAACTAATAACGAGGCTTGAAAGGACCCCTCTAACAGAAGAATGCTACAAGAAGGAACTGGATACAATATATGCCATTGCGGAAAATAACGGATATAGGAGAGGCCTGGTGGAGAAGTTAAGAAAGGACACAAAATCGAAAAAGACTAGCAAAGAGGAAAACAATAAAAAACCTTGGGCAGTTCTAACTTACACAGGAAAGACATCTTACAAACTTGCCAAATTCTTTCATAAGTACGACATTCAGACATCATTTAAAACAAGGAACACAGTGGGAAATATATTGAAAGAGAAAATAAGCGAGGAAGACCCGCTAGATAAACAGGGTGTTTACAAGTTAACCTGTGAGTGCCGACACAGTTACATAGGACAAACAGGGCGAAATATAAGAACAAGGTATCGAGAACACATAAGGGATTATAATAAGAAAAAACAAAAACCAGAGGCTGCAATAGAATCGATTTTCGCGAATCACATGATCAAAAATAAATGCACACCAATGGAGATTGGACAAACCACGGAAATTCTCCGTGTACAACATAAAGGACAAAGATTGAATATATTAGAAAATGTGGAAATATATAAACAGAAGAATTTCAAAGGACAAATAATAAATGAGCAAATAAGTACTGTATCGGACGTACTGTTTGAACCTCTAAAACTACTGTACGAGAAGACAAATGACAACAACAAAATATTAAGGACAGGCCTGGGAGGAAATACACCAACTGCAAAAACAAAGTGGGTAAAAATCACGGACTTCTACCTGCCGTCAAAAACGAGCCAAAACAATTCATCTACCTATTGAGCATCGCAAACACTGCAAAATCAAAAAGACGTACCTAACAAAATAAAGAGGTAGTTAACAAGGAGTATAAATACGAGCAACCAACAAAAATTATGCAGAACGAAAAATGACACTGAAGATGGCACAACGCCGAAGCCGGTTTGTCTTCAAACCCAATTTGACAAGGGATGACGGAAATTCGTTTCGAAATACATCATACACCCACCCTGTCGGAAACAACAACGAACGCGCTTCGCGGCAGATGAGACCCGTAAATGTCGAAACAGGCATAACCCGCCCGAATACTTTCATGCTCGCCTTTCGGTGAAGAACAGTCCGGACTGTTGCTGCGTTGGGCACTGCTGTTCTCTTGGACTAATCCCTGTGTATCTATAAAAAATACACTCACTTAATTGTGTATATTATGGTACCCTTAATGCTACCAAAAATGGCGTGCCTTCTGGGGCCTTTGAAGTAATCTTATTGGTATCCTACGTTACAAATGAGGAATTACGAGCTTTGTCGAGCTCTACCTCCCAAGAGTTTTATAAACAAATTGCATTGCTATGGCTAAGTTTTGATGATAACACTGTAAGGACGCTAAAATTACACAAAAAACGCCGAGACACGTAAAATTCATTTTGGGTAGTAGATTACGGATCTCTATACCGTTTTTTTTAGATAAGGTCATTCAGTCATTATTTTCATTTTCAGTTTGCATTGCAAAAGAAAAAAATTCAAACTTTAACAGGGAAAAGGTTACTCATACGGTCATGTACGATATGGCGTATGAATAACATTACTTCCTGCTAGTATTTCATACAAAAAATTATTGCACTTTCACTTAACCCTTGCAAACTTGTTTCCTTATCCATTGATTTTCATCGTTAGTAGTGTTTTAAGCCGCAAAGCAAGCGATATTGGCTAGTCTATACTACTGCATATTTTGAAAGCCGTTTTTTACAACGCTTTTATTTTTTTACAATGCTTTTATCAACTTGCAATGTTGTGTGTCCAGACACCAATTTTAGCTACAAAACCTTTGCTTTGCAAAGTTCCTATAAAAAAGTCTAGCGCATAGGGCGACATCTACCTCTACGGTTGAGTGGTAGATCTCGCCCTATGCACTACGTACGCTACAGCGGAAATGGACGACACGCCATTTCTTTAAATGAAATTACTTGGTGTCGTATGTATGTACATACGTATGTATATGCATGTGTGTGCATCAATCTATTATTATCGTTGAATTATTTTAATATCCATTGCAAAATTTTATACAGACAAGACTAACGAGTAGAAAATAAATAAGAAAAAAAACTTTTTAATGTGCGCGGTTTTATAAAGTAGCTTTTGATTTTGCATTCGCATTCTTTATGCGAATGTATCGCATCATTTTACACATTCGCATTCGACATTCGCATTCGCTTCAATTGATACGAATGTTTTGCGAATGCGAATGTGTACATGGGCAGAGTGTCCACACCAATGTTGTTGAAATGGCTCTAGGGTGCGGGCAATAACCGGCTTTTAGCTTCAGGCGCTTAACGGTTAAGTAGTATATGAAGCAACATTGATGGGCCTTTAACAAGTACTGCTAAAAGTCGTATAAGAAAACTAGAAATAATTTTAGATTCCTCCAGCTAAAGCAAAGGCTCGGATGTAGAAACTGGAGACATTAAAAAATGTGACATTAAAGCTTAATTGGAGGCCTATCGTAAAGAAAAACGGGCTCATCTCGGTGAAAATCATCTCGATTGTTGGAAAACTAAACAAAAATACGACAAATTGACAGATCTGGACCGAAAATATTTGAGCGCTTCACCCGCCGTTCCAAGTGAGCAATTTTTTAGTGCAGCCGGCGTTATGTACGAGCCTCTAAGTCAGAGGTAAACTTTTTTTCTCGTAGACCCCTTTCAAAAATTTACTTGTTTCGGTGGATCCCCTGCTGATACATTTCTAAATATTCCCAAAGCTCGTAAAAAAATTAAATGTGAAAATTAGATCTAACAATGTAAATTTGCATCCCGGATGAATCCAAAAACTAAACTCAGAGTGGCCAAAATATAAGTAAAATATTTTCCTGTGTTCTCGGAAGGGTTATATTTTTTAAGAGCACTGGGAGCGCTAGCGTTATTTACATTATCTTCTTCTTAAACTCATAAAATGTTCGGCTCACTGATGACTTTGCACGTGGAGTATATGTAAAATAGTTTATTTGTGTTAATGGCATCATTTTTATTTTTATCGCTCCGAGTTTTAAAGTGAGGCGAAAAATATTTATCATATTTTTAAAACACAAAACTTAAAGCATCAAAACGCCAAGCTTTTGACGCCAAACTTTTAATTCAGAAACTGATAATAGTGAAAAGAACGAGTTTAAAAAAATCGATGACAAATAAGCAAGCAAGCAAGAAACACAAAAAGTGTTCCACTGTCTCATCTTCTTCAAGGCAAGACGGGCAAATGGACTTGTCATTTATGCCTATCACTACGGTGACCATATTAACCAACGTAAAATAAAGGACATTTTTTTCAAAATGATTTTGGAATACGTACATACAACTTGTAATTTAAATCAAATATTTACCAGTTAGTTAACCGATTCCGAAAAATGAAGCCAAATCCATTTCAAGAACTTCGCCATCCTTGGCTGCACGCCGAAGCCTGCACACAGTGGTTCAAAATTGGAATCCACCGTAATCATAATTTTTCAACCAATTTTTACTAAAAAACCAAAAAAAAATTATTTTGGTGAAAATTATTTTATAACATTTTAACATTTTTTTATAATTTTTTCGTTTTGGGGAACAATACAAATGTTTTTAACTAGTCTTTGTTATATAACATTTATTAACTGGAACAGGAGAATACATTTTTTTCAAAATTGCCACTTTTTCTGCATTTTGCCCTACAAAATTTAATATAAACAAATAAAAATTCACAATTCAGACTCAACTAGTCTCTTGCAAATATTATAAGGTTTCATCAAAAAAGATCAAATTAAGTGAAAACAAGTAAGAAAGTTTAAGTGCGGGCGGATTCGAACATTAAATACCCGGCGCAAGTATTAAATATATGATTTTCACCTTTACGAATGCTACCGCTACATGGTAAGCCGGGGTGTATAAATTTTGAGCAAATTAGCATCCTTAAATTTCGAAATTTACCGTTATATGAAATGCGGCCGTAATTTAAGTCTGATTTCAATAATTTTCAACGTTTTGCTTTAATGTGGCAAGCACAATTACCATACCGAGTTTGGCACAAATTGGTAGAACGGTTACCGAGATAAATATATGTGTTCATAAGTGGGTGTGCCCATTTTCCAAAATTTTATCATAAACGTATTCCTTGGTAAAGAATTGTTGTAAGCATCAATTTTGAATAAATTAGCTTTAATATTTACTGATTTATCGAAGATTTTGTATTTCTCTAAATTACCGTTATATGGGATGTGGGCGTGGTTATTGTCCGATTTTAAAAAATCTCGGCCATTTAGTATGCTGTGCCAAGTTTGGAAGAATTTGGTGCAGCGGTTACCAAGCTATACACATGTAACCAAAAGTGGACGTGGCTACGCATATTTTCCAAAAATGAATAATATTCTTAATATCGTCTAAAATTTATTGTAAATATCAATTTTGAGTGCATAATCTTGTGTTGTTACTAAAATATCGCAGTTTTCGTATATCTGAAAATTACCGTTATATGGAAAGTGGGCGCGGTTTCAGTCCGATTTCGCCCATTTTCAATACCAACCTACCTTGGATAAATGGAAACCTACGTACCAAATTTCGTTGAGATATCTCAATTTTTGCTCGAGTTATCGTGTACACGGGCGGACGGACAGACGCACAGACGGACAGACGGATGGACAGACAGACATGGCTTAATCGATTACGCTATTCATTCTGGGCATTTATGTATACATTTGCCTATATCTATCTGGATTCGTTTTGGCTGTTACAAACAACCGTTATGTGAACAAAGTTAATATGCCCTTGTGCACAAGTGCGCTCGGCTATAAAAACGAAGGCTCCAGTGAATTACGAACTCTAAATGCCAGTTTTGAACCACTATTCTCTTTCAATGGAACTGGAAACTCAGTGTGCAACACGATCCTGGCCACAACTTTCCCTGTGCTTTAAAGATTGTGCAAAGGTTACCTATTAAATAAAAACCCTTAAGTGTATGGACAAAAGGCGTCCTTTATTTTTAAAAAAATTATAAAGGACAGGGGGTTAAAATAAAGGACTGTCCTTTCAAATAAAGGACGGATGGTCACCGTACCTATCACAGTCAGGTGTTAGTGCCACGGGAAGTGACCAGTCAGCAGTCCAGCAAGTTCTCTGCAGTGTCGTCTGCTCAGTGAGAGCAAAAAATTAGATAGACCTTGTGAGATTGAAGGCAACATGAGTTTTGCCCACCTGCATCCCCTCGATGCCTCTCAGTCATTTCTGAGCGAAGTATTCACCCAGATTCTGATGGTGGCTTCGATTGCCGAAGGTGGTGCTAAAACTGGTTACGGACCGAGGAATGCGTGGTCTGAGCCAACTCTGGCCAAATGATCAGATGTCTCATAACCAGGTGCCCCAGAGTGACCTGGCACCCAGAGTAAAACAACCTCGTTATGTTCACCATCATATTTTAGTCGAGACTTGCATTGCCGAACTAGTTTGGAAGTACTTAAATAGAGGGCTGGTCAATGCCTTAAGTGCAGCTTGGTTGTCACTGCAGTCACG